CACTTTTCTTCTTCCAGTAACTGTCAGTTCTATAAACGGGCTTCGGAACTTGCAAATATCCCAGTAAGCAAGAGCGCGCGAAGTCCTGTGCGCTCTTGCTTATTCCATGTGGCACGGATGAGAGCGAAAGGGTAGCGCAGTTCCCCTCCTTGGTCAGCAACTGCGCTAGGCGACCTTGGGGAGCAGTTGCTCTCCAATGTCGTTTTTGTCGTCTGTCACAACCGCTTGTACCTGAAGTTTCCGGCATTCCTTTCGGCGCCGGGGAGAAAAAAAAAGTTTGTCGACGAAACGTTTCAAGGTGGTTCACGAAACGATTTTCGACGAAACCTCAGTGTCGACGAAATCTGTGTCCATGAAACGTGTGTCCATGAAAAGTTGTCCACGACGCGAGTTTCGACGAAATGATAGGGACCCGGTAGACCTTCCAAACCTTCGATTCTTCAACGTGAACACCGTGAACGTGAAAAAAGAACACGGGCGTGCGTCCCCGCCACGTATGCTCTTTTTTTTTTTTTTGAGAGAGAGAGAGGGTCGATTATTTTGTATTCTTATGTTGGATATGGGTAAGTAAAACTAGGGAGGTTGCTGACTTGCGAAAGCATAAGGTCGACCAGGTTTAACTTTTTCGAACTTTTAGTTCGACGATGACCGTTCTAAAATTTGACTTTTGTGCTCAGATGCGAAAATTTAAAACTTTAAAACCAAGCTGACTTCACATGGCGGAGGAAAAGTGCAATATTGGTTGGGTGTATCGCGTTATATTATTAAACTAAATAAATCATTAAAAGCAGACACCTTTGTCCTTATGGTATGTAGAACTTAAGAACCATTTCACAAAATATAAACTTAACATTTTACAAATATTTTGTCTTCTAAAATATAAAATTTCTGTGTAGAACTTGTACTATTTGAGCGTGTTGGTGGTTTTTAGGCATTTAGGAAGAGGAGACACATAAGGGACGATACAGACGGGACAAAAAGCATTTTTCTTCCGTTGCAGGCGAGTTAACTCATGACTATAACAAAAAAAAAAAGAAAAGAAAACAGCGCAGATTTGTTTAATGAGGTTCGCCAAACGAGTCGAACCTCAGGTACGACAAAAGTTCGCGACAACCCTAGTAAGACTCCAAACCCTAATCACTGCTGCTCATTTATGCTCTAATTTTGCTTTTGTTTCGAAAAATCCGACGGAACCAGACGGAGACGCCGAAAATCCCTTTACAGCGTGCAGCACAGAAAAGGCGGAAACCACCCAAACCAGGACTACCAGATAAGAAACCTTCGTAATCAGATTCATAACCAATTAACCTCGCGCTGCCACTTCACGAGATCGCCGACTGGTTATAAGTTACAATTGGTCGTCGGAGTCTTCTTTTCAACGACGTACCCGTTTTGGGCGCCGATGTGCTACTCGCTGTACGTAATCTATTATGTGTTTTAGAGCGCAGCTCTTAGGGGCCCGTTTCCGGCTTGAGCGGCGTCGCCGTCGGCGTCGGCGTCGCCGTCGCCGTCGCCGTCGCCGTCGGCGTAACCGCGCGGTGCATCATGGGAAATGTCCCATAATGCACCGCGCGAGCCCCCCACCAAGGTCACTTGACCTCATGGGGGGTCACGTGACCCCCCGAAGTCACGTGGCCCCCTCCTCGAGGTCACGTGACCCCCGCCGATGTCGCGTGACCCCCCGATGACGTCATCGTCACTGATGACGTCACCGGCATCCACATCGTCATCGTCATCATCACTGATGACGTCACCGGCATCCACATCGTCATCGTCATCATCACTGATGACGTCACCGGCATCCACATCGTCATCGTCATAAAGGCCCTGTCACACTGAGGCAACAGTTGGACAACTCTATCCGGCAACACGGGGAAGTCGTGTTGCCGGCGACCCTGTCACATCGAGGCAACAACAACAGTCGGGCAACATGCTTCTGCCGCCCGGCAACCGTGTTGCCCGATTTGTTGTCCGACAACCCTGTCACACCGCGCTGACGGCGAGGACAACACGGGGAACACTCCGCCATTTTGATTGTTTACCTTCGTTCGTGTGCGGCGCGGAATCGCTGGAAATGTGACTCTACAAAGTGCTAGTGCGTTCGAAGGGCCGGGAATTACCACGGTACGACATCAACTAGTGACTGTGATTAGAAAACTTGACACGGGGAGTATTTTTCGCTCTTTATTTTATCGAAATGTTCTTCATTTGCCGACAAAGCAGATAGCCCTAACCGAGGAAAGGGGTATCGCTGATGTATGTTCGGGATTTACGCCACCGTATGAAGTGATTCTGTCCGGTTCTTTCATGCAATTCCTATTTCTACTGTAAAATTGCGTTAGCACCGGCAGTACCCCAAGGCGTCTCTTGCAGCGTGGTGTTGAGCTGAACTGACAGTGCTTCAAAACTGCGACACCGACACCATCGGCCTTCATAACAATCGGTGAAATAAAAATTTTTCAACGCTGTCTACTGGCCTACCGCTGCTACGCGATCGCTTCATTCGCCCAAAACGTCCTGGGTATTTTTAAGACAAATCAGGTGTCTGGTAGCGGCTGTTTCCAAGTTCCAAGCATCAACAATCATGATCAGAGTGGTCGTTTTATGCTTCGACTTTTTAATCTTAGGTTTTCTGGATTATTTTTATTATACTTTATTAGTGGGTGAGTAGGCATGCCATTTTATTTCACTATCCGTAATGTGCGCTGGACTCTCGGGAGATCTAATTTCAAAACCAGTCTGAACGTTCACGACCGTAGCTGTGACCATTTCGAAAATCGCTTTCCGTAACTGCGCAGCAAAAAACATTAATCGAAAATATTTTAGCTGCACACCAGCCCTAATTATTGTTAAATAACGTTTTCCAAGCCTTTGTTTGAGTAAGACTTTATTGATAGGGGACTAGCTCTACCATCGAAGCTATCTATGTTGTCGTGTTGCCGGCCCGAAATTCGCTCAGCCAGCGATCAGGGCAACACTCGTTGTCCAACACAAGTTGCTGCTGTTTTTGTTGCCGAAAGCTGTCATACCGAGGCAACATTTTAGTTGTCGTCCATGTTGTCGTGCTGTTGCCGCGGTGTGACAGCTTTGTCGGACAACACGGGGAGCGAGCAACAAGTTGCCCGACTGTTGGACAACATGTTGTGTTGCTGTTGCCGTCGTGTTGCCTCAGTGTGACAGGGCCTTAACTGATGACGTCACCGGCATCCGCATCGTCATCGTCATCATCACTGATGACGTCACCGGCATCCACATCGTCATCGTCATCAACACTGATGACGTCACCGGCATCCACATCGTCATCGTCATCATCACTGATGACGTCACCGGCATCCGCATCGTCATCGTCATCATCACTGATGACGTCACCGGCATCCACATCGTCATCGTCATCATCACTGATGACGTCACCGGCATCCACATCGTCATCGTCATCATCACTGATGACGTCACCGGCATCCACATCGTCATCGTCATCATCACTGATGACGTCACCGGAATCCGCATTGTCATCGTCATCATCACTGATGACGTCATCAGTGACGTCACTGATGTCGTCACCGGCATCCGCATCGTCATCGTCATCATCACTGATGACGTCATCAGCGACGTCACTGATGACGTCACCTACATTCGCATCGTCATCGTCATCATCACTGGTGAAGTCATCAGTGACGTCACTAATGACGTCATCGGTACCCGCATCGTCATCGTCACTGATGACGTCATCAGTGACGTCAGTGATGACATCATCGGCATTGGGGGTCACGTGACCCCCAAGGTAACGTGACCCCCCCCCCTGGTTAGTTTAACCCCCCCCCCCCAGTGCCCTTCCCTCCTCCTCCTCAAGAGCTGCGCTCTAATTCGGCGTTACAGGGAGTTGTAAGCGGCTTTCATTTTTTATTTGTTGTTAAAGCCAAAGGATGACACCAGTTACCCTCAAATACGACTAGGGGTGTCGCGAACCGGCCGCGGTTCGAGTTCGACCAGGTTCGACTTTTTCGAACTTTTAGTGGAAAGTTCGTCGAACCTTGTATTGGGGTTCGACTCGTGTGCGCATGCGCGACAGGCTGGCCAGTTGGCTTCGGATTGGATGGTAATGGCTAAGAGATGAATTAAGTGCAGCGCTGATCGGCTCTTTCAGTCAGTACAGTACTAAAATTTAAGTTATTAACTTCTTCAGTGAATAGAATTAGTTTCTTTCAATTGCAGCTGTTCACAAAATAAAATAACCCTTTGCATAAGAAAAGAAATTCTCCAAACCTAGACACGCTTGTATCAAGGTCTGGCCACACTGTCCACAAAGTCGAACCGGTCGAATCTGGTGAAAAGTTCGAAGGTGCGTCGAACCGGTTCGATCCAGTCGAACCCCGAAAGTTCGACCAAAAAATCTGGTGCGACAAAAGTTCGCGACACCCCTAAACACGACACATGGAAGTTCAAACTGCCGTCTCTGTCCACAACCAGAACCAACATTTTAAAAATGGAGGGAAAAAGAAATCGAAATCAGAAAGTAACGGTTAGAAGGTTGATGGAAAAGATCGAGAGGGATCTGAAATAGCAAGCAACTAGCACCAGCTGGAGAACAGTAGGGACAGAGAAATATTAGGACTCCCTGTCGCGGTGGCTCCGGTTCAATGTTTCAACCACAGGTTCCAACCCTGTCCTCCAGCGGATTTGGTTTGGGAGTGATACTGGTGATACCCACGAAGGGTTGACCAGAGGAAAATCGGCGACTCCCTCGCCTGGGCAAGGAGGTGAGGATTTGTTTACCCGATTTTTCAAAGCTCAGCCTGGTAATAATTCCCTCTGCGCGGTGGTAGTCGCAGGGGTTTTTAAGGGCAAAAGAAATAGGAAAAACAGAAAGAAATGAGAGAAAAAAAAAAAGGATTGAAAATGTTTCAGGCTAGGTGGCGCAAGCTACCGCCCGTTATAAAGGGTAGAGCCATTATCTATTTATCTATCTATCCATTCAGAACAAGATGGCGGCAAGAAACGCTACAGACGCTACACGAGACCGCAGGAGACGGCGTTGGACGGGGAGAATATCATTGGGCGGACGGATGTCACTTCCACTCGTCATCAAAAGGTAATGTGCACTCTATTTACACTTGCGAAAACAGCTTTGAAGTCATTGCTAGTCTTGGCACGGCAGAAGACGTGCCACTTGAAACCTCGTTCGACAGCGGCGTAGCTTCGGAAGTGGCTTGCTCGTAACAATGCACTTTAAGCCTGCTTCAGAAGGCACAACTCTCCCGCAGGTTCGAGGTTGCTGGCGAGCTGTTTCATAGATCCTCGCGCTGCAACACGTATTGCTGTGTCTGGGTCCGTATCGAAACGGGCTAAGAACTAGGAGCAACTTTACTTTTGAAGCGGCATCAGCAAATCGGGAACGCGTTGGTTTCACGTGGTACCGCTGGGGTGACAAGTTTCGAAAGACTAGAATTCATGAAGCGCATATGCGGCGAACAACCGGCGAACTTCGCCCGTCGGCATGTTCGCTCCGCGCGCGGCGCAATAACTTTACTAAGCTAGCTAGGCAACAGATATAAACGCGCTAAACGGTCGCCGCCGGGTGAAATTCGTCGCTCAACCGTAGCGTATTGACACCGTGACGTCGGTGTCCCAAAGAAACCGTTCCTGGACTCGGGGTCAACTTTCTGTGGCAATGAAGAGAAAGCTAAGGAGCGGAGCTTACAGCTCTGTGTTCCTCCGCTACGTAGTTCCCGATAAATTGGTTTCGGTTTGGGTATGGGTGTTGAGGGCGCTGAACCGCGATTACCGAGCATGCAGGCATATCGGCGTGTCCTTCCCTACGCTTCACCTGTTTCTAAACACACACCAATGCTTTGACTGAGGAACTCGGACCGACTTATATGAAAATTATACCGTGAACGATATCGTTGAGTTCTGCTTGTCTTGCGACCGACGCAAATGTTTGGCGTCAAATTAAGAACTGTCTTGACTTTCGTCACTGCCGCAGTTCTGAGGGCACTGATATGTAAACTTTTTTGTTGCTGAAAACTGGGCAGCGCCACGGGCATGTGTAGCGTGCTTACATAGCGTGGGCGTGGTATGCCGAAACATTAGTACGCACATCACTACGGCGCAAAGTCAAATCCCATTTCAATCTCGTTGAGCTACCGCCGGCCCATTGTCCTGGCGCCCCGCAGCTCGGAAGAAGCATAGCGAAAGCTCGCGCTGCAGGACCCATGGATCCTGTGCTCAACCCCCACCCATTCAATTCAATCTCTTGGATGAACATTGTACCGGCGTCGACTGCGCTGGCCGAGTTGCTCATCTACAGCATACAGAGGTGTCAAGCCCTGGATGGCTGAAAAAACGTCACGCTGTCTAAATATCCATACAAATACTGCTGGCCCCAAAAGTTTTAAAATGATTGGTCAGAAAGTTTCTGTAGATTCTGTTACATGACAGCGTGCCTTTTACCGTTTCTGCTTTTGCATTCCTCGAATGGTTTGCAGATACTTCTGCCGCCACACGATGATGTCCTCCCTTTCCAGAAGCGCAGAGTTCCGTTTTCACTTCCGAAACGCAAACCCAATGTCATTCAGAAGCCCGTGCATCATGCTGATACTCGTCTTCGGCCGGCCCGTTTCGGGATCGCTGGTTACATCGCTGAGAATCTTGTCCGCAGTTGGCGCCTCGTTGCGAATGAAGTACCGATGTACTTTCCGTCGAAGAGCAGAAAGGGTGAAACTATCGTTCCACTGCCCTCTTGTCTTTCCAGTATCTTTGGGCGGTCTTCCAGTTGCCAGACAAAGCCATTTACGCTTTGGGGACTTCAGGGGACAGCTCGGAGCCTCTAACTTCAACCGTGCGACAGTATGCTCGCTTACGCCGGTAAGCTGGTTAACCAAATGGAATGCGGAAGCAACGGAGAGTCCCGGTTGCGTCTATCTCACTTGGGCCTACACGTTGCAGACCATTTGTTTTGTTGGTTTTGGCAACTTTTGGTTCTCAAACTTCGCGACAATCTTATGGGACAAATAAAATGGCAAGCTTCCGGAAGGAAAGGAAAATGCAGTCGACGAGGACGCCGTGTTTTTTCCTGCAGAGAAAGCCCGTGGTGCCAGTGGCAAACGCAACCCCAAAAAACCTGAAAAGCTGAAGGAATGTTCTTCGTTTTATATATTCTGACTAATATTTTAGTAGCATTGTCAACTCAAAGATAAAAAAAAGAGTAAACATATAGTTTTGAATTGCTTAGGTTACACCCAGAAAATTATTTTGTATGAACTATATCCAGCTGCGCAGTGAAGCGGTGTGGTTTGGCTCTGCAGCCTTTGCTGCATTGCCACAAAAAGTTGACTCCGAGTATAAGGTAAAATTTACCCAAGTACCAAGGAGGCTGCTATGAATGTATGCACAAACACTCCACGTGCGTACGGCAAAGCAGGGCTGGTTTTAGACGTTTGCTTTGAAGAATTACCACTGTAGTTGTCAGCACACTCAGCTCTTGTGCATACAAACCCAGCATGCTCCTTAGTGATTGGCTAAATTAGCAAATGTCTATTGGATTTTGCTGCGAAAGAATGGTAGTTCAAATACGGGATCTTGGATTTTAACCTCTAGAAAGATAGAACCCTTGTATGTCATACTAACCCTGAGAGAAGTTTTTTTTTTTTTTTTTTTTTTTTGAGAGTTGTCTGCTTGAGAACGGTTAGTTCGCTCCATGGAGTCCAGCCTTTATTTGAAGACGGGTTGTGATCAAGTTCTGGTTTTCAATTTATGGTTTTAGCAGCTAAATAGCTTCAGTGAGATAGTTAGTATCCTCATTGTCAGCAAAGAAAAAGAAGTCTTATTAGTGCATTAAATTTGGCCATAATAGTTCACACTGTTCCCTCGCCTCCTTTCCAGTGTTCGCTGTGCTAAAGTGAAGAGTGTAGGGGATTGTTGGGAGGAGCGGCTTCGTCTGCTTTTTTTAACCTACAGCATACTATACAAAGATTGCACATGACATCCCGCTAGGGAGGCGTGTGGCCTTGCGCCATGCTGGTAGCTCACTTTGCACGCACTTAATAAGGCGCAGCATGCCGCTAGTGACCTGGATGTGTGCAGTTGTGCACTACCTTTTCAACAGACATACCTAGTTTTTTCGACATGTGAACTTCAAACAACACGAAAAGCTTAAGGTGATCACATTCAGGGAGCATGTGTAGAATTTTTTGCTGTCGGTGCGACTACGCTACGAACAGAATTCGTTGAGATGTGGCGGTGAGGATGCAACGCGTGTATTGCTTTCGAATTCTATTCCAAGAGAGTCATTTTTCAGCTGCTGAGCATGCGCACGCTCAAGACATTTTCACTGTCGAGCAAGAGCAAAGCATCTAGGGCAGCTGACACTGTCAAAACCCAATGAAACAGAAACTTTTATGAAAGATGTCAAAATAGTATTTTTTAAATATTTTTATGCTTTTGGGGAGCGACATTGCAGATGTTGAAGTAATGTTTTTGATCAGACGTCGACTGCGTTCACGTTCCTGCTGGGCTGTGAATGGCGTGTACGGAGGGTTAAAGGGATGGCTGAACCGAAATCTGGATTCCCCAAAACACGCGGCAAAAGCGTGCAACGGGATGCTACAAACACCAAAACATAACTCGTACAGCGATATCTCAAACAAATGACCGTATTTAAAAAGAAAAAAAAGGCGCCTTTGGCAGGAATGTTGACGTCCTGTTCCTCCGAGAAAGGGAGGGAACGGCCTCGCGTCTTCTCCGCCTCGCGGCCTCGAGGGAGCGAAGCGAAGTGAGGAGGAAACTAGGTATCTTGACGTCACGCGCCTCGCCGGCCTTGTTCAATGTCGACTTCTTTTTCCAAAAATACTGGCGTCCATTTGAGATATCGCCTTACTAGTAGTGTTGTAGGAATTGTAACGTCCCGCCTACATCTCCAGCATTATTTTTTTAAATCCAAATTACGGTTCACCATCCCTTAACACGCAATCGTCGATTTGTCTCACTTTTGCTCGTATCACTATTTTTGTTTTCATTGCACCTACAAATTTGCTGAAACCAGTTCAGTTTCGGTGGTAATGTTTGCTGTTCGGCGTTACTCTGTGCGGTGTCAATGCTCGGGAAGTGCCCACTATCATTCATTATTCGAGAAATTTGTTGGCATGGATGTTGTAATGTAATGATGTAATTCACAGAGAAAAACGTGTACATGTTTTGCTGTAATTTGCACTATCAAACTTTGCAGCATGCCGTGCCTACGTCAGGGAGCTGTGCCTGCTTCATGAAGATCTTCCACAGTGTGCTGTGACCTGGGAAGTTACCATGCACCTGAACATGGCTTTCATCACCTGGATTAGGTAACTTTTAGGCCAGAGGCAGCAGTTATTAGGTTGGTGGACATTGTCAGGAATATATTTCGAGATAAGTGTCGTGTCCAAGCTGTATGACATCCTGCCTAGCTACGCGTTAGGTTGTTGTCTGCCTTAGTGGGGGTTCCTTGTTTTCAGAGTTATATGTTGTGAAATTCGGACGGTGCCTTGTGGGCATCTTTTTGTACGAAATCCGGTGTTTTTCCGAGTTTATCCTTATTCAATTCTCTGTTCTTCAAAATTCTGGACTCAATTTTGTGGTAATTCCAGTTTTCACCAGCTCAGCGCATACAAGGCTAATTGGACACAGACATTCCTATATTCGTAGCATCAACAGTTAAAAAAGGAGTTGCCTGTACCTATAGTCGGTGCCAGATAAAGACTGCAGGGAAAGCTCCTCCCGCAAAGCCGTCCACTCTTTCCACTTTGGCAGAGCAATAGCTGTAAAAAGGCACGTCCCTCCTCGTTCGTCTCGAGTGTTCACTGCGCTACAGTCGAAAGGGGAGGGGGGGGGGGGGCTTTGTGGGTGGAGCTTCCAAATTCATAGCACCGACGATTAAGAAAGAAAGGAGTCCACCATACCTAGATGAGGTTTCTTTGGCTGGACGTGGCATTGTAATTGGAGATACTCTGCAGTTCCCAGGGTGTCCTTGCATTTCCAATACTGTCGCACGACGAAACTCGCAAGAAAAGGTTGCTCCACTACGCGTCCATTCTTTAAGATCACTAATATCCTGGACGTGGTGGAGACAATATTGTGTTCCCCTCCCAACATTTTGAAGTTCGAGGTTCCCCAACTCCTGCAGAAAAGTGCCGTGGTCATGCGGTGTCCAGGGGCACGAAATCTATGGAATTATCGCTTGCACTGTTGTAGGAAGCACGTCCCTTCTCCCTCTATGAAGAACAAATGGTATGGTCTGAAAGTTTTGTTTCGGGCACACTGACAGCACCCGGACGTTCTGCAACATTTCTCATTGTTTGTGGTCCGGCTTGGCGGCTTGCCTCTAACTGTGCATCGTTACACCATGGAGGAGCGACACCCAAAAAGTAGACGTTGCAAGCCTGCATATCTCGCTTTGCCACACAACAGTTGCAAGCTTTAGGGGAAAGTCCTCTTTCAGAGTGGAACGATGCAGGTGCACACATTGGGTATCTAGAAACCAAAAAGAAGTTGGTGAATAATGATTTTGCAGTAAATTCTCAAACAAACTGCAGATACGATAGGCTGGGATATCCTGATTAGTATCCTGCATCATTGATTGAGATTTTTCGATTCATAGTTAAAAATTAAAAAAACCCTGAAAAGAAATTTTTTTTTTTAACATTTAGGTGTGGGACACAGGTGTCAGAAAATAAATTTTATGCGAAAAGAATGTTTCTGAGCAATACTGACGGCGGGAGTTTTATTTGAAATTCTGAGCGCAAAGTCCATGACGTGACTGGTCATTCCGGAATGACCATCTCGGTCGTGAAGGCGACGCCGCTTCACTTCTCCTCCACGCGCCCGAAATGCCGAGAGAGAAAACAAGTGGAAAAGTGGTGGCTGCCGACTAAATCGCATCTCGCAATCGTCAATATTGCTCTGAGAAAGTTAATATTTTGCGCATAAAATTTATTTTTTGACATGCGTGTCCTGGCCAGACTGTTTAAAAAAAAAAACATTTCTTTTTTTTTTTCAGGGGCCCTTTAAGGAAAGGCACTTTGGTATGACGAGAGGATTTCTAAATTGCCACAATTGTAGTCACTGACTGAGTAAAAATGGCAGAGAGGAGCTTGCGTAAGCCCTACCCTTTGTTTCATGATTGACTTACTGCCTCTTTACTACTCTTTGCTCGGGGCACTACGAGGTCTCAAAGATAGGTCCAACGAAATTGTTCACAACTTGAACTCGCATATGTTGTAAAGGCGAAATGGTTAAAGATACGAGGACATGGCATTCATGTGATTTTCGAATGTAGCGTGCCGAGGTACCGATTGTTCATCGCAAACGCTTCCATTAGAATGTTTTTGGATTGACACATATTCCTGTTCTTTCCACCCTGTAAAAAAGGACATGTGTTCGCATATCTGTCATTGTGTGCTTTTTTCTTACAATGTGGTGGTTTAAATTGTCCGCACTGTCCTTCTCTCTTCCAGGAGAGGGCCGCTGGTAGTGTGCTGGGCGGAGCAATCGGTTTTGTTTAGATTTTTGTTTTATAAAATACTAGAATAAAATACTACTATAAATATTATAAAATACTAAAATGGGCTCCTATGAGTTACGCTCCGAGACAGTCGAGCTCAATGGAGAGTGATGGTATGTGTATCAGGCCACGCCCTGCCGTTCTCCCACTGTCGGTGACTATAACTGAAGCTAGACTCCACTATATGTTTAACTGTAGGCACAATACAGTAGAATCTCTATAAACGGAAATCGCTTAAACGGAATTGCCGCTTAAACGGAACAGTAGCCCGTAAGTTGGTTGGTTTTGTATTCAGATAAGGTAAAAGTACTTTCGGTAATCGGAACTAAAATTTGCACTTCACCGTGTAAACGGAACCTAAAATAGAACTTCAGGCGGACCCATTGCCATGAGCATCAGCCTTTTTTGGTTCCGGCTGTTTCTTTTTTTTTTCTTTTCTAGCCTCGCAAGCCTCGTTGGCCTCGCCTCGTTGATAGTCGGCGCAACGAATGCAACACTGCTGTTCTTGATCAAGTTGTTCGGTCTCTGTTCGAGTTGCCTAAGTTACAGCCGCACCGTTCCTGCCGTCGTGGTGCCTACCGTGCTTCATTGCCGCGTTGGTGTCTTCCAATTTCGGTGGCTCGTAAGCGCTCGCGAAGTTGAGGCCTTGCCTCCGTTGTTTCAATGGCAACACAGAAGTGGGCACACCATGCGCTGACGTTGGAAAAGAAGATGGACGTCATTCTTGACTTCGAAAGCGGCTCATACTCGAAGACGGCGCTCGCGACGAAGCACGGCGTCCCGAAAAGCAGCTTGACGAGGATCCTGCACGACAAGGACAAGCTACGCGATTCGGGCCCAAAGGAAGCGTCTGCGACACGGCGACCACGAAGAACTGGAGGAGTGCCTGGTTTTTTTCTTAAGGAACCATAATCGGGAGTGTTTCTCCAAAGCCTAAGTGACATGGAGAAAAAGATTCTGAAAATGAAGATGCAAGGACTCAAACAAAAGAAAATTGATGCATTTTTCAGTCCACAGTGATTAATTGCTGCCTAATAAACTTGTGAATGCTATGTAAAAACCTCATGTAGTTTCCTTGCTTTCTAAAAAACTATGAGTTACATTCACCTTATAGTGTTTAGACATCCATAAAAGAGTATTAAGAGAGTGTGCACACATAAAATCGGCACTTTTTACATCTCTCTTAGTAAACGGAACTCCTGTTAAATGGAACAAATTTTTTTGGTCCCTTGGAGTTCCGTTTACTGAGAGTCTACTGTATATGGGTGCCCCCAGTGTTTCAGTGCATAGTCAGTAACCGTGCAACTAACACAGAATTAGCTAAAGAATAAAAGCACAAAAACGTGAAGAAATTCGGCTGGATTATTTTAGACACATTTAAAGCCCATATTCTGATTTCTTTTGTGATAAAACTACATATCACAGGCCATTGGTTTGAGCAGCCATTTTGATAGTTAAAATTATTCCACACCTTAACATTATATACATGGAATTATTTTGTTAACCTTTGATTCCATACTTAAGATAACCATTCCCTAATAGCCAACCTGCAGTTTCATTCCATTAGCAAGTATGTATAATTAAGCTGTTGCAATCATCCTTTTTAAATAACTGGAATAGCTTGTGTCACGGCATTATTGCTGACCTGTCTTGTGCTTTCGATCGCAATGGAACAACTAGTTCAGTGTTTGAGGCAATCAAACTACTGTGCAAGATTATTCATGAGAGTGGTTAAACAGAAATGGAGAAGCGAAGAGGGCATTTCCATTTAAACACAGAAGCCAACTTTTAACATTGTTTATGCAGTGGAATGGACGAGACGTGTGTATGCTTTCGCTCGATAGGTTCTTTTAGCCGCTTCAAAATGACTTGGACCAATCACATCACTGCATTAGCTGGAATCATTAAATTAAAAACTGTATAGAGTTTGCTCCCCTTTGCCGGTTTTGACTGTTAGTCACTGAAAACTAGATGTTTTTGGAAATCCGTATGGACGGCATCAGGATACCGCTGTCCGGCGCAAACGATGTGAGCAGGTGCATACAAATGTACGAATGGGATGAAAGATAAAACAAATCTTGCAATTTTAAATGATATTGAGCAAAAAAACGATACTCAGATTAGTGTTACAGTATATCATGACAGTTGTGCAACGACGTCCGTCTTAATGTCTTTAGAACCTAAATTTTGAGGAATCCCTATGGCTTTGCTTTGTCGTCTGACTGATGCAACATTGTTTCCTACACCACAGTTGTTGGACAGAGGAGCAGCCAGGACGTCCTGCCCTTTCCAAGCCGGTGGCGTCCAGCAGTGAAAGAAGATGCGATATCTGGGCAGCCTGTATTCATTCTGTGGGCAAGTTAATAAACCATTTTATTTTGAAGCATGGAGTGGTGTGTGCGCAGCAGCTGGAGGAGAGAAACAACACAAACACAAATGAAATTGGAACAGGCAATTGTGGCTACCATGCCCCGCGACGACTCTTCAACAGCAGGAAGTTTTGATTTGAAATCGCAGTGCTAAATGGGTACACCTCAGCCAGTCCTACCAATAAATCAAACTTTCCAGCCGAATCGAGATGGTCCAGCCGAACTGAAGCGTCTAGCCGAATTGGAGTGCTCTAGCCGAATTGGAGATTCTAGCCGAATTGGGCATCCAGCCGAATTGGAGCGTTCCAGCCGAATTGGTCTGTTCATCCGAATTGACCCGTCAGCCGAATGGACACTTCAGGCGGATTGGGATGACACCACCTGCGCTAGCTCGACCTGTAAAGCTTACTACCAACAAAACAAATAAAGGGAATTTACTCAAGGAATAAAGTGTAAGTACCAGACGATGCAGAGGTAATCCATACAACGTTTATTTGAGCTTAATGTCAAACAAACAGTAGTCTCGATCGACGTGCGAGTGACGAGAGGAGAGTCCGCCACCAACGAAGCCACGACCGGCTAGCACTGAACATATTCCCCCGCACCACGCTCCCCCCTTCCGCTCACAACTTCGAAAATGATAAGAGCGAACGAGGGGGGAAAAGTGGCCCTCTATCCCGAAAACAAGGTCAGCTACTCACGCGGGAAGGGTCCACTTCAAAGAAAAGGTCGGGGCATCCTGTTCTGAGTCAGCAAAGACGCGCCTAGCTGGGCTTTGCTTGTGGGCGAAGTCGAGGGAATCACAGGCGAGTTTGGCAGGTCCATGCTTTATTTTTCGCTGCCTGAACTCGTGATCCGTGCGAACATCCCGGAGAAAACTCTTCAGAGTGCCAAAATGGCAAGATGTTGTCTTTGGATCGTCAATTAAAGTAAATTTTGGATTGTAAAACAGGGTTGCCAAAGGCAGGTTTCAAAAGATCACGTGTGATCGCCGAGAAACCGCCAACCGCCTCTCGGTGTGTCTGAACCTGGTCGCTCGCGAACCGCATCCGCAATCGCTTCGCGAATGCGGATCCGCTTCCAGTGTGAATGTGCCATAACAGCGGACGCTATCAAATGCGATACTCTGACGACGCCACAGGCCCATGCGCAACTCGACCTGAACGAATACACGCAGCCGTGCAATTACATGAGTTGCCGCTGTGGGAGAAATGACGACGTCAAGATCCCCACTAGTTCGGTTCTGGAGTACGGATGAGTGCCACTTTTTCAGAGTAGGCTCTAGGTCAGTCTCGCAACTGAGTTAGTGGTTCTAGTAACGTTGGGCCCAGGGCAGCGGCGTAGCCAGGAATTTCTTTAGGGGGGGGGGGGGGGGGGGGACGTTTATGACATGGGGTACGGGGGAGGGGGTGAAGTGGGGCGTTTAAGGTGCATGTTTATATTATAGGCCTGTTCCTTTCGGCCAGTTGGCTCGAGCGCATCCTCAAGACGCAACCATGTAATACTGAAGGTAGCGTCTGAGAGACGCGACCAGAAAGGTTCTGCTGTAGCGTCAGTTAATGCACGAGGCAGGTACAATAACAAGCGTCTGTCAACGTCTTTCTATGCACGCTAACAAAGTGCCTAAAAAAACATAAAATCCATAAAAATACATTAAAGTCGCGACCTCAGCGTTCTATAGAAACGTTAAGGGTGTCTTCCTTTCAGCTGTTGTGCTTCTTTTTTTTTTTTATAGTGTCCGTGAGAAACTTATAGGAGCATAATGACTTGGAAATAAAACTCTACCTCAAAATATTTTATTATGCTCGCCAGGGAAGCTGCTATAAATAAACATGAAAGCCACAAACTTACAAAGTCGGCTGGATTTTTTTTTTTTAGGCAGGAGGTTAATTTTTATAACTTTCTTTTCTTTGGCTAAACAACTGCCCAGGTGGAATCGGCGTGGTCCTGGGTCATCTCGGATATGCCCTAACCTCTGTTCGGCATATTAAGGAGCTTCAACCCAAGAGACAACCCTGTGACTATAGACACCAAGTCACCCTCACTCTGTACCAGGGCTCGATGCACGAACCTGATGTATGAGCCTCACTTAGTGCGGACCCGAATGACCCAACACCTCGCTTAGTACGCACCAGTCACCTGAAGCTGTGTTTGGATATTTGTGTTTGTCCTTTGTCCCCTTTGTTCCCCTTCTCCAGGGAATATTATTGCCATTATTGTCCAACTCACTTGTAACTTTGCATTAATTACATCATAATCAAAGACAACTCCGCTGGCCATCAGATCGTCGATTTACGATTCATCGAAAGATCGTTTAGTCGATATGCGACGTCTGGAACCACGCCATGGCGAAAGGCATACCGCCAAGTTTTTGCAGACGATTTCAAGGAGAAGTCAACAATGATGAAATCGCGGCACGGCGCACGCATACCGCGAAGGCATTGTTTTGGAATATGAGAAAGCAATCATGAAAAAGGGATAGACACTTAAAATTTATTCATGACTTTCAAAAACCTCAGGCCTCTAAAACACCTCTGATAGAGGAGCAGCAGTCTGTTAACTCACAAATATAAAAGGATTAAATCGAGCTGCTTTTGGATTAAAATGGATGGCGCGCTGTAATTAAATTGGTGACAACTTGAATAAAATTAATTTTCGCTGTGATTAAATTGATGGCCACTTGGATTAAATTGGAGTACAGCTGGATTTACTTCAGAGAGGCACGGGTTATAAATGCTGCCATTTGGGTTATTATGAGCGGGAAAGCCTAAAAACGAAATGCCCTACCACCGACAATACCAAGAGCTCTTGAGGAGGCGCTCTTTCACACTCTGTAGAGCAAACGAGACAGAAAACAAAACGTGGCGTGTAAAATGGTGCTTGTCACAACATTTTTTTTCGATCTTTGTGACGCTTTGAAGCGTGACTTAACAGGTAGATTAGAGTTACCCTCTGTCGAGCAATGAAAGCTGGTAAGCAGTTTCGGAGGACTGGAAAGGCGACAAAGGCATTGCCTTGATTTAATAGGAGAATAGTTACTTATATGACGAAAGTCTTTACTTTCGTCATTCTTGTCCAGCTCGCTTGCACCTTTGCATTTAATTGCATTATAGTTACTTATATCCTCGCATGTGCCGTGCAACGAATAATAATGGAATAAAGACTTGTGCTACGAATGTTTTTTATAGCTCGTAATGAAACTTTCGGCTTCTATAAAGGGTGCTTGAAAACTGTACTTGAAAATATTGATTAAATCGCCCAGAAAGGCAGGATTTCATGCCAGAAATTTATATCTAAAACAAGATGTCGCTCATTTGTGAGCTTGATTCCAGCTTCCGCCGAAAACATAATAGACTTATTTCTATATTACCCAAGCATCAAGGAGAATGCAGGGATTGCTGTTCCATGTGCCGCACAGGCTGGCGTCAGTAGTATAAACTTTTCTAAAGCAAATACCAAAAAAAAAATGGAATCTTGCACGCACGTTCGTAAACGCTTTATTTTGGTTATTTACTTCGAACCTTTTATGCTGGGAAGGCGTGCGCGTGTGGTGCGTGGAACACCATTCCCTGTATTCTCCTTGATGCTCTGGTAATATAGCAAATGGTCTATTGTAGTAAAAGCTCAAACTAGTGCAACTTATGGTATGCACTCGAACTGTCTAACTTAGCGCGGTGTTTGAATTTTGAGGAATCGTGGTCACAAGGCATTCGCTATATCTTTATTCACTGAGCCTGACCTACTTAAGGAGATGTTCAACTTAGCGCGCGGGATTCGCTGTCGCTAGATAGGCAGAGAATGTAACAGCCTAATCCAAGTAAATATATTTACCGTACATATATATTTGAAAGAAAATAAATTAATAAATAGGTAAATAAATAAACAAAGAGTTTATAAGCTTGTCTAGATAGGAGCACTGGCCAAAGAAGCATAAGTTAAAAGAGGGTATAAGTTTTCCTATAATTAAACCCATCTCGTATTTTAACATAACATTTCTTACAGATGGCTCGGAGACATGTGTTCTTCACGGAAGGCAGCTCTGGTGCACCCGGATGTTGAACTAGCTCGAGCTCTTCAAGTACTCTCGAAGTTCAGAAAGGAATGGCAGTAGTGTTGAGAACCATATTAAGTTGCAGTATAAGAAACGTAGGATAAGCTCCTCCTGCAAAGCCCACATCTCTTTTTAATTAAGCACAGCGACCGCTTAAGGGAAGGCAAGGACACCATAATTAGTGGTGGATACCACTAATTATGGTGTCCAGAGAGCTTTCCGAGGCGTCTTGGGTCGCGTTTCTTAACGACTATACGTTATACTCTTTTAGTTATATCGTTTATTTTTCTCATCAACACCACTGATCTCCATATTGAGATTTTAGTATTGAGCCAAGAGGCTTTGTTTGTTCAATAATTATGGCAATTGGGTTTCACAATTTATTTCCCAAGGCAATTTGTAAGTTGATTCCAGATCATTCTATTTATTTATCTACTACTGTCAAGCACTTTGAGGGGAAAAACATTTGGCTTTTCTTCGCAATGTGTTCACTGCGGTGGTTCAATACTGTCAGGACCCAAGAATGTATATTTCACCTTTCTTCAAATGTTTATGAATTTAGAAGCATGTTTTTCACTTGGTATGTGCTCCTATTTCAGGACACCACCGAAGTGTCTTGCACAAACTATGGGGCATCTACACCATGAGCAACTTTGTTTGCACCAGCTATATGTACCATGTGTGACACAACAGAAGCATACAATTACCTTCACGAAATGGTATATCTTGCAGAACTGGACTTTCGAACCTGACCAATGGTACTGCGCATTCCCTGGGAAGATTTGCAGTGTCACCGCGAAAATGAACAATGAATTGACAAATTCTCAGTATCCGCTCAAATGTAGCGCTAGCACTCCTGACAAGATGCCAATGTTTCAGAACTTGTCATTTTATTCGAAAGTTATGAGTGATTTTCCACATGCCTTCTTGATGTGACCAGTCTTGCCGCAAGATCGGCTTGA